CTTGGTTTATCTGTTATCTCTCTCTTATGTATTGCCTTTAATGAATAAGCCAACAACTATGTATAAGAAAGTCTTACCTCTGATTTACATTTGGTGACGATATCTGTGGGTGTCACCATTCAAAATTAAAGCCCAGCTTATCACTTATAATGTCTTATAGCTCATTGTCATAAATTAAAATAAGGACTCATGACAGCTAAGAGGTACAAAATAAACTGTGAAACTTTGATTAATGTGAGGAATTTACTCGCACGTGACTTGTTTGTAGAATTTTTGGTCCGTTTAGAAATTTTGCAGTGTGAAAGCGAAACACACCAAGAACAAAGAGCAACAATGTAACAATTTTACTCCCTGTTTCAGAACAAAAGATTCAATCCACAGGTGTGTAAGCACTCATAGATGTCTTTTAGATTTTCACTGACAGCCCAAATTTAGCCTTGTTTTAGCCAAACTGACTATGTTTAGACGTCTATTAGACATCTTTTAAAAACATAAAATGCTTGCTGGGATAACAGAATGACTACTAAAATCTCTCTCCTGATTGCATTATGGAGTCTTGTGTAATGGGGCTTTGTGCTTCATGTCAAATATGATTATTCAAAACATGATTTGAAATAATGTGCACTGATGGCTTTGAAAGGAGATAAACAGTCTTCTAGTTTACAGCTGGTCTATCTTTACCGGTTGATATATTATTGTTTAAAACCAATTCCCCGCTGAAGAAAATTGATAGGATCTACTTCTGGTTTCTGACTGTTGCGCTCTACAGACTGCATTAGTTACTGCTCACTTTTTTCATCAGCGCTGGATTCTGAAGTATTTTCCAATTTTTTTTTTTTACCCATAGGGATTGCAAAAAAGGTTTTGTTAATGTAAAACCCTAACCATGTACCAAAGCAACCAGCAAGGAGAATCACAACATTACAATCTTTGATTGTAAGCGAAGAAGTAAATGAAAATCAAACAAAAATTGACTGTACACGACAGCTTTAATAAGAAAAAGAACTACAATCCTATCAAGCATTGCGAATGATGGAGAAATAAAAAACTATTTGTTTCCAGTTACTGATTGTATCAATATAAATATATTTATGTTTATTGCAAAATATGCACATTTATACAAAGGCTTCAGTATATTTCAAATGTGCTTCAAGAGAGTGGATGGAGCTATTATTATTGATGTGTTCAGCAAAAGAACATACACCTGATTAACAATTAGCTTAGCAAACTTAGGTGTTGTGTACACTAATGTGTTTGTGTATAAAACGGGTACGTCTGTTACAGTTTTGCTTTGTTACAATTCTCCGGTACCTTGGACTCATGAAAATGGAGTGGTTTGAAAATGCTGAACACTCCATTTTTGTTTGGAAATGCTGGTGTTCTGTTCAAGTGTCAATAAACCGAAACGCAACGTTTTGAAAATGGAGGCGCAGCTATTTACAGCCTCTGACTGCTCTTCTGGACTATTGCGTATCGTTCCCTGATTTGTCAAATCCCTCTCATGTGACCATTACACAACCATTATACTGCAAGTATAAATGCTAAAAAATGATGCGCATGGCTAGTGAGCATGAATGGTCACAATCATGACTTTTACGTTGTATTCGTGTAAACGAAGAGTTATTGCTAAAAATAACAATTCCTAAAGACAAAATAAAACGAGTAAAAATAGTTTATAACTTACAGAACCTAGAGGGTATTGCATTATCAAGGTTCACCAAACTTGCTACTGGAGGGCCAGTGTCCTGCAGATTTGAGCTCCAACCCTAATCAAACACACCTGAACAAGCTTTTAAGGTCTTACTAGGTATGCTTAAAACACCCAGGCAGGTGTGTTTAGGCAAGTTGGAGCTAAACCCTGCAGGGACACCGGGCCTCCAGGACCAAGATTGGTGACCCCTGGCATTATGGTACCATGCCTGGTATATATACACAACAACGGTATTCTAGTATACTCATCCAAACATAGCCTCTGATTGTTTTATAAACCAGTGAAACCTTCTGTCACTTAAGAGGTATTAACAGTTCCCTTAAATATGTTCCCTAAATGAGCAAAGTGCTACTGTCACAAGCACTTATAAGCAGACAAATGACTCTCACAGTCCCTGTAGGGATTTTTTCTTCTTCTGTACATCCCATCTCTCCAAATGAGAAAGTCTTTGTCACCGCAAAGAAGAAAATGAGGAAGGTGAGACGAACCATTAAAAGTCCAGCTGAAAACGTTTCTGTACAGGCCTGCAGATGAATCCAAGCCGAGCACACCGAGATTAAACAAGAAGAAGCGAAAAAGCTGCCATTGAAGATGCAAACACAAAACTGAAACCACGCATGATGACCATCTGAACAAGGAACAGTTCCTCTGTGCTCACCATTTCAGTTTGTGTTTAAATCAGAATGTGGTTTGAGTGATGAGGAAGCAGCTGATGTTGAAGTGAAGTACCATATTGCACACTCACATGAAGTCTGCTTAATGAACTAATTCCCCTTTACCGTCGCTTTGTACCAGACACATGACAAATATGGCTGCACGATGTGCGTTCAATGCTATTTGCATTGTAGAGTAGCAGCATCCAGTGACGGCTCCAATATGGCAGGTGCCATTTAGAAGCAAACCGCATTACAATGCTGGGAGATTCAATCTGTAGCTCTCAGATACTCAGGGGATCTAATAAAAAACCAAACCCCCAAATCTATGATGAAATTACGGCTTCTCTGTACAAACGCCTTCGACAGCTTGTGACTGCTAATATATTATCCCAGCATGCTCTGGGAGAAACGCTGGCTATAAGCGAACCAGCATCATTTCATTACTTCTTATCAGCTTATTGTGAAGCTTGATGTTTTGTTTTTTTTATTAAAGAATTGTGAGGGATTTTTGTCTGAGCACACATCACCTCAGGTTGGCTGTGCAGTTACACTTTATTTAGTGTCTGCTTAGTGAAAATCATATGTTTCATTACTTTATAATAGTAATGGCACACCGCTCTTCGACATGTTACACAATTTGAGGTATTTCACTGATCCATGTTATAAATCCCTACATGCTTTTCTTACTTAGAGATTTTGACTTGTTTCTAGTCCATATATCAGTCAAAACTAATTGAGTTTTTCTTTAAAACAACTAAGTAATCTGCCAATGGGGTTAGCAAAAAAGAAATATTATTTCAAATGGAAAACAAGATTATTTTGTTTACACCATTGACAGATGATTTTATTTGTTTTAAGGAAAACTCAATTAATTTTAATTCTGAAAACAAAGCTATTTTTTTTGCTTGTCTAGCAAATGTTTCTTGAGATATTTGGACAGGAAACAAGACAAAAACTCTAAGAAGGAAATAAAAGTGTAAAATGGATCCAAAATGGTGTAATGGGTTAACAAACAGGAATTATGAACCTGTTGATCTTGATAACAGTGTTATGTAATACTGTCAGCTACACATTAGGGAAGAATAATCATGTTGTCATGATGAAACTGGGAAATTTGGAGAGCAACAACAGGATATGATGTATTTTGATGAAAGTGAGGAAAATGCATTATAATTATGATGCAGCAAAGGCCAAGGTCAATGATTCAATCCTTAGGAAACAAGTATGGTGCGTCTGGAATCACATACTTTCCTACTATAAAGAAGTATAGGGCCAAGTACTATCATAGCAGGCACACAATGTCATAAGACGCTAATATTAGGTTAGATTTAGGTTGTGATGTCAGATGACCAAAATTCAATGTTTAGACAGAGTCTAAGGACCACATTATTTTGACTTCCAATAACAATGTTAAATGACGTTAATATATTTAGTTAATATTAGGTTGTGTTGAAAAGTGAAAAAAATCCAACATCGAGCCAATGTCATATTGACATCAAATACTGACATTTATTCATCAGGTACGGCAACTAAAATTCAACGTCCTATAGATGTCATATTGGTAACGTCCAAACAAATCAAGCTGTAACTTTAGACGTTGATATTTGGTTGATTTTAGGTTGTGTTGGAAAGTGACCAAAACCAATCTTAAGCCAACATCATATTGATGTCAAATAATGACATTTATTCGTTAGGTATGGCAACCAAAACTCGTGGTAGCGTCCACACAACATGAAGCTGTAACATCATTAGACGTTGATATTTGGTTGATTTTAGGTTGTGTTGGAAAGTGACCAAAACCAATCTTAAGCCAACATCATATTGATGTCAAATAATGACATTTATTCGTCAGGTATGGCAACCAAAACTCGTGGTAACGTCCACACAACATGAAGCTGTAACATCATTAGACGTTGATATTTGGTCGATTTTAGGTTGGATGTTGGATATTGATGTCAGCCTGACGTTGGGTTCTGACGTCAAATCGATTTTCATTTCCAAACAAAATACAACGTCCCCACGATGTTGGGGCACATCATCAATCTAACGTCATGTTGACGTCCTGTGCCTACTGGGATGTCTGAATTCATGGTATTTGAAATACAGTAAGAGAGATGACCTACTACTAATGGCAAGATTCTGAAGTGCATTCAATAGATACTTTACTATCCCATGAGCCAATGGGAGAAAATGTAAATGTGGCTGTGAAGCAATGCACTTAATTCAGGAAGGTCATGTGATAATGGCAGATGTAGTATGTCCAAATTTTACTCATACTACTAAGTTTAATTTCAAATGTAGTACCTACTGTATTTATAGTAGTAGTAAGGGATTTCAGGCGCAGATATGCTGACCAAATATAAACGTTAAATGTAATATAAAACCAGATGTAAATGTAAAAAATGCACCATATTATTATCACATTTGCTAAAGATGCTAATACAATGTGATGATATTAGACTTAAGCTCAAAGTATACTTTGTTCTTTAGCGTACAGTCAATTTTCAGCATACTCCATTTGATAGAATGTGTGCTTTTTCTTTAAAAAAATGATGAACAATGACATCTCTGTACTTGTATAAAATAGAGCTATGGACAAACATGTACTTGTGAACATGGTTAGTCTTCAGTGGTATATTGATGTTCCACCTCGTCCGTTTCCATCTGCGAGATGGCCCAGATCAGTGTTGACACCTTGTGGAGAAAATACGTAGTTCAAAAATAATTCAAAGAGCATGTACAAATGTATTAAAAGTTTTAAAATATGATGCACAATATTCACATACTGTACTGCTTAGTAAATTTGTTTGTGGATTCTAACATGCACGTAAAAAAGCAAAGTATACTTTGGTCTTTAGATCTACATGGTGTGTAAGTCAATATATATGTTTGAGTTTAATATATTGTTTACCCAAAAGTCAGTAAATCACTCAGTCCCTCTAATTCGGTTTGAGATTTCAGTTGGATTTAAACAACATGTAGGTAATGGTCGGTAATATGGATTCATAAATTACTCAATAAAAGAATGTAGCTACAATATTTTTTGTCAATGTAGCTACAATATTATTTTCATTATCCAAAAAACGGATGTTTCTGTGAGGATGTTTTGAGCATGTCATTCTTTTACACAATCCCCCAAGTCAAACTCAGCTGAGGGTTACTCATTTTAAAGTTGGTATAGTTCACGGCTTGTGTGGTTTTCAGATATGATGACACACCCAATGACGCAACCAATAGACTGTCATGCCTCCTGTGCATAACCTCCCCTGAATCACAGCAAGTGTCGGAAACAAAGAAAGCAAACAAATGAACAAAGGCCGTGAAATGGAGGACCACGAATCAAAGGTAGCTTATTCTTCTCCCCTTTTACCCGTGTCGTGCTTTCATTTCATCCCAGTCCCTCTATCATCCCGGACTCACTTGTAGAGGAGCTGCAGGCGTCCAGGATGGCAGTTGTTGCGATTGATCTTGCCATCAGGCTGGTATAAGGGGGAAGAGTTGGAGAAGGAGTGGTTGTCGGAGGAAGGCAGCGGGTATCCTGGAGGCGGGAGAAGAGATTTGGGATCGTTCTGTGGAGTGGGAATAGATGGAGAGCTGTGGTTCTGATTGGAGGTGGGCCGCTTCCTGGAGCGCAGGGCCTGCCGCTCTGACAGCTGGTTTCTCAGCTCTGATACTCGCTCCTCTTTCTGTTGGAAAGAAAATATGAAGATGTTTAAGAAAATTGGCCTCAAAGTATTAAAAATATATCTATGCAGTTTTGAACCCAGGGAGAAAAGGAAGATGAAAGTCAATATGACAGCCTGTTGCATCTCTCATGACATGCGTCAAACAGGACAGGACTATACTTAGAATTAAAATAAAAAAAACATTTGAACTGAAATCTGCAACATGACTCACAGAACGCTGAATTGGCCTGACATGAAGTAAAGGAGTCAGAGCAAAAGAGATTTTCCTTTTACTATTTTGTTAACTACAACATTTCAACTGAAATTAAAAGGGGATTTGTTTTTTTGTTATGCCAGCTGAAATTGTCTTGGCATCTCAATGGCCCTCATTAGGTTAGATGGTGTAAATGTATTTACTGCATGTCTATATATTTACATTGTCACTGGAAGGCATAGGATCCAAAAAACGTTGTCCAATCAAAATGTTAAGTCTGAACATTATGACAGGCTGCCTAACTGCCTGTCAACATGTGGATTTTTATACCTCTGAGTTCTGTTCACATACAAAGGTCACATCATCAGAGCAAACACAATATGCACAAATTTTGTGTGGCGTCGCATTTGATTTAAATTGAATATGAATCACTTAGAAGAGATTTTGTTTAAAACAGGTACGACTTTGCAGACATCTTTATGATCCCTCCATGCGTGAGCATAGGGATAATCAGATGGTCAAAAATACTTGGCTAGAAATTACAACAGCAGAGGGAACGGAAGAACGTTTTTGTTAAAAGTTTAGAAAAACTTAAGGGAAAAGTTTGACACATCCAAAAAGAGAGGCCATGGCAAAAGTGGAGACCCAGGTGGTTTTAATAAACAATTACAGAAATATGTTTTTTCACCATTTAAAGATTTTACAGTGATCACAAATTTTGAATTTAAAACAATTTAATAGTTGCAAAACTAAAATGAAGTAACATTATTTCTTTGATAATTGGAAAGGATTATTTTAATCGGTTTACAGTAAACTGATGCCCCGTTTTTCTAGACTTTATTGGTGATAATGGTCAGCAATGTTGGACCATTATTGCCTTTTCAGCATATAAGTAGAGGACACAAACTAGCCAGACAGTAATGTGTGAATTGTGAAGTGGGCTAAAGAAAAAAAAAAAAAAAAAAAAAAAAAAAAAAAAAAAAAAACATGTATTTATTCAACTTTAATAGGTACTGTAGAACTGATATTTTTAAATTTACAAATGCACTGTAAATTAACAATTACAATTGTGCTCTACTACTACAGCACAGTTGTAATTGTATTTACAGTATTTAGAATATTAACTAAAATAAAAATATTAGATGAAAGAGGGAAATAGATCATGGCAACTTACTGAAAACATTGTTTAAAGTCAAAAAATTACTTTAAGTACTGTGAAATAAATGTAGATCCATCAAATACATTTACAACATACTAGAGGGAATGGACAATTTATGCACATTCACAATAAACATTTGCTGACTGTTATCAAATCTTAGGGCTCTCCTGCAAAATTTCATTTATTCTGTGATAAAATGTAATATCCTCTTTAATTCTGTTCTCGGAGTCAGAAACTGTCACTTGAAACTGTGTTTAGTATATTTACTTTCAGATTAAGGCATCCTGCAATACAGTTTCCTGATTCTTATTAGCATGCATTATACCACTGATCTTTATGAATCATCAGTTATGTACACGTGAAATGAAGGGTGCGTCTCTTTAGCCTCCAAGGTCGTGGATCAGTAGATCATGTATACAAATTCAGGCACTGGGTAAGGACAGAGATGAGTTTGGTTCACTAGACATTGTGACATGAAAGTTTTCTGATTGTACATCAAAACTAGAACAGCAGAAGTAAATGTTTTTCATATACTATTTTTATACCATTTTCAAATGTACATTATAGCTAAATAATTAGATTTTTTCATATACCAGCAACATTTCAACCATTAAACAATTACAAATGTTTGCTAGATTGCTCCTAACGTGTCTAACTATGTTTGTAATGCTAAAAATAAACATATAATAATAATAATAGTAATGATATGTTTTTAATAATGAATAATAATAATTTAAAAAATGTCCATTAAGGGCACAGTGCACATCGATGCGCATAGTGGGACTTTAGTGGGACTTTTCAAGGCGCAAATATTTCAGTGCACTGGAAGAATTTTGCAACAGAGACAGCCCTAAAATGATCTGGGGTCATGTTCTATGAAATTTGTAAAGACGGAAGGAAGGATGGAGAGATGGATTAATGAAGTGTGCTGCACCTCTTGGATGATCTTCTGCAGCTCTTTGTTCTCTCTCTCCAGCTGGCGGGATTTCTCTTCATCATTGTTGTTTGTAGATGAGCCGGTCTTCATGGTCTCCTGCTGGTCTGACTGCCATTCGCCTCGAGTGATGAGCCTTCGCATCTACAACAAACACGCACCAGATCCATGATAAAACAATATTACTGCACATAATATGATATAATATATTATAATATAATATAATATAATATAATATAATATAATATAATATAATATAATATAATATAATATAATATAATATAATATAATATAATACAATTAATATAATATAATATAATATAATATGAACATAACATAACATAACATAACATAACATGATATAATATTAAGTTAAATAATATGTAAAAATGTAATTAAAAATGGAGGTTTAAATTGGATTGCCTAGTTCATTTTTCAAACTGAACAGACAGGAATAGCAAGTGCATTCTGGGATTTGTTATGCCTGTACAGAAAACTTGGTGGCCTTGAGCAGATTGGTTTAAAACTAAAACTACCACTACTAAAAGTACTAACTGTTTAAAGCATTATTCAAGTGTTCACACTTAGATAATGCTTGATGATATTTGCAGGTTTGGCATGCTGGAGAGAACAATGAGCTCTGAAAAAGATGAGCATTGTCAATCAGCATTTAAAGGGATATGAGATCACGTAGTTCGAGAGAGCTCCCCCAATTTGTTTGGCCTATTCCTTAATTAATAAAGACAGCTCTATAGGAATAGGCCACTAACCACACCGGTGCATGCTCACTTCCCAAGCGAAGATAGGGAGTAAAGTTAGGCTAGATATTTATGTTAGATTTGGATTTATTCAATTGGCTAGTTGATGATTACCAAAAGGGACCAGCTGCAGTCAATCATAACACGTGCTCCTCTCGAAACTAATATGTGAAACTTCACTTATTATATAGTGTACTTAAAAGCTGAAATACAATAATCTATCAATATTAGTTAAAAACATTTGAACAAATGATCAACAAATTGAAATAAGAAAGCTGAAGCAAAAGAAGGAAATAAAATGGATATATATAACTATAAGAAAAAAGATCTTTATTTGTATTTGCTAGATTTACTATATATATATATATATATATTTCAGTTAAATAGTATGGTCTGTATGCTAGGTATGTGTCTGATAAAAATGTTTACAAATTAAAATGAAATTCAGGGTTATTCTGTAAATATGACACTTAAAAAACTACTTTAGATTATGTACATGTATGTACATAAAAATATTATTTATTTTATAGACCACTTCAATGTGGTGAGGTCATTGGCGCATGAACATTCCATGCTTGTTATTAAACTATTTCATATCTGTTACAAGAAGGCTTGAAATTAACTTTTTTTATCACCAGTCACTGTGGCTAATTGTTTTCCAACTTCACTTGCCACTTGCCATTTTCACAAGCCACAATTTTGTTTTATAAAATCAATGTATTTGTTAAAATATATTTTATATGCTTAAATTTGACTTTGGGATGCTAAAACTACTTGATTTAAATTGTGTTATGTCTACATGCCTCCTTAACTTTTTTATTATTTCACATGACTTTTTAGGGCTAAACACTAAGGATTCACCTTTTTTTTCTTCAGGCTACACTAAACCAATTATTTCCTTGCCCCAAAATTAAAAAAAATGTGTCAAAACATGCTAAATAAAGCTGTATACATAGGCTACACTTTTTATTCAACAAAAAAATTCTTAAAAAACAATTGACATTAAAAAAAAAATATTCTCATTTATCTAAAACTATACACAGTAGTTTGTCCAGGCTAAAGGTCCCAGATCATTAGGAAACTACATAGGAAACATAGAATTAATCTCCTATTAAAACAATGTTACTATAAAGGATTATAATTAAACCATATTAACAGAAATAACTGCAAGCAAAAGAAAGCAGGCGAAAAACATTCTACGTGCGATAGTGAAAGGATCATTACTAGCACACTGTTAATGTTAGGACCAGTAATAATCTGTTCAAAGAATGGTAAAAGCGAAAGCGGCAACCACTGTTGCTTACAAAAAATCTGGAACTCTTAAAAGCAGCAGTGGATGCATGCGCACCACTTTTTTACAATTTATTTAAAAGAAAAATTATCACACCAGTTGCGTTTCCAGACAAGATTGTTTTGTGCCAGGAAACGGGAGCTTTTAAGCACTTGTGTGCTTCACATCAGCTGTGCTTAACTCACAACGTCATTGAGCAAGAATTGCCTGTGTCTCACTCACAGTCCACCTGATTATTCTCTCATTCCGTGTTCACCTGCTTTTTTTTTGCTCTGCTAAAAGTTATCAATCGTGCTGCTTCTCAGTTCTAAGATCTTATTTGTGTGCATATTGACAAACAATCTTGAACTAACATTTTAATATTTAGGGAGACGAAGCAGCTCTGTCATTTTAAAATTAATTTTCAACCAGATAAAATGGCTAGTAGGGGTGTCTGTATACCTCGCCACAGCTAAAATCTACCTGAAGTTGGCGGGCTGGCAGATGTTAATGCCAAGCTCTGGTTACAATAGGCAATTCAATCATAACTTAATGTTAAAAGAGCTATCATACGATTATTTATTAATATTCTCTGAAGCTATAGAAATTAAAAATGTTAAACAGGAAGTATGTTGGTACCATTGGTATTGTTTACAACCCTCAAAATAATCTATAAGGAATTAATCATTAAAAAAAACACATAAAAATTGAACAACAAAAAACAAAAGTAAAAAAATTACAGAAAAGTTCAAACTTATATGTAAAAAAATATGAAAATAAATACAATTGACAGTCCTGAATAGAGTAGTAAATAAATACACAACAAAATATATAGCAACAGAATAAAAAATATACTATTAATTAAAAATAATACTATTAAAATAACACTTGTCTCTAAGTACAACATGCAAATAATCATAAAGACTTTTCCAAAAATATGATAAATGATGTCTTCTTTATGCATTTACAGTAAGTGCTCTTAATAACGGCTGTATGATGTTAGCGTCTTCACTGTCATCTCTTTCATGTTCTCTGGAGAGGTGTAATAACACCTGTCCACTTCACTGACACTGATTACAGCACTTCTCCATTCAGCGCACTTTAAGACTTCACATGTCACACATTAACACGCGTCTTTGATCACTCTCTCCGCTGCTCTAGTTATTCGGCATTAATATTCATAGCTCTAATGCAATATTTACAGTACGGCTCCTTCTTGTTTTGAGAAGATGATCCTCTGTTGTACCTTGGGGACGAAGAGGACTACCAGAGTGATGTAGACAGAGAAGATAATGGCCAGAGATGCGAAGGCGAATGAGGCGTCCTGCTTCGAGGACAGAATCATGGTGACAGGAGCTGTTATCATACACAACACCTGAAAAAGAGAGGAACAGCACTTACAAAACATTTTTTGGGCTTTGATAGTACTATAGACTTGTTATTGTTGATGAAACGGTAACACTTTAGTTTAGGTCACAATTCAAGGTATTAACAAACCATTAACTAACACTACTAGCTCAATAAACTACTAATTAGCTGTTTATTAATAGTTAGTAAGGTAGAAGTTGGGTTTAGGTTTTGGGTAGGATTAGAGATGTAGAATAAGATCATATCTTATTAACTACCAATGAACAGTTAATATCTTAGTAAAAGGCAGGTAATAAGCCTGTTGTTAATAAAATGAATTGAGACCCAATCTAAAGTGTTACAGATGAAACCAAAACTATGAAAATTGTTTGTGCTAATAGTAACGCAATTCTAAAATTGTCAATTTTTTTTACAGGAAGTCAATTTTACCTGAAATGCTTTGCATTTAATATCACTTCCAATCAAAATATTTTGTCAGATTATGTGAAAAACTTTATTTACAACTTTATTACAATACGCCCAAGAAATTTTACACTCTTTGGTTAAATTCTCTAAAAATATATACTTATATAAAACCTTACTGCTATAGCGACAGATGAAGCCATGGTCTTTAGCTTCCTTGGGACTTTGCTAACCTGACTCCGTTGCACTCCCCCCCTAAACCTCACTCCATCCCGGATGAGCCCCCTCGTGTATAACCCACTGGTTCTACTGCACCCAACCCAGTCTGAGCTGGGATTGAACGGGTGATTATTTGAATGAGAGTCAGTTGCTCTAACAAGGAGGCTAAAGATCAGGCATCAAACATCTTTTGCTAGAGCACCTTTTGAGGTCAGAAGAGTGAGGTTTACCTGCATAAGACTTCACAAGCTGACCTCCGCTACACTCACCCCGTAAACCTTTGTACCATCCTGGATGAGCCCCCACATGTAACCTACCAGTCCTACTGCATGGGTGTCATTTGCTCTAACAAGGAGGCTAAAGAACATAGCCTGTAGTGTCTGTCACTAGAGGACCTTTTGAGATCTGTTTGTAAAATAACAATAGTAAAACAGTGCATACACAAGACAAAAAAATATTTTTATGATCCTTCTGGAAAATCAAACATAATTTTTTACAGCATGCTTTTACATTTATTCTGCATATCTTTTATATATATATATATATATAGCATATTTGATGTAATATTATGATTGAAAGTAACGCTAAATGCAAACATTTTCAAGTAAAATTTACTTAAATTTCATACAATAATTTCTGTTGTAGCTTATGCTAAGATTACCATAACATTACATTTTTAAAATAAATGTTTTTAATACTTAATGAATGAAATCCTGGGTGTGAGACAAAACTTATCAATAAAATATTTACATCAAAGGCTTTTGATTAATGATGAAGGCTTGATGATATGTTTTAAAAAATCATTTTTAATCTGATGTTCATAAAATAAAGAATAACTTCTGCAGGCAGAGAAGTGGAGTACAGAAACCGAGAGAGAAAGAAGTCTAAGTCGATAAATATCGATCTTCAGTCAGTCATTTCTCACAAAAACTACAACAAAAAATCTCATCCAGGCTAGCAAAAAGCAAATGTTGCATGGCATCAACAGAGGTGATCTTTATTTTGCAGGGTCATTAGTTATTTGGACAGGGCAGAAAGTGCACAGACGTCTCTGTAAATCAAAGCAGTTTTACAGCTGGACTAACAGTGATAGCCTGAGGCTCGTCTGAATCACACCACAGCAAAGCCGTTCTGATGGATGAAAATCTGCACGCTCGCTGTGTTAAAATGGCCATTCTGAATAATGCTCGCAGTAAGCAAACTCTCGTTCATTGCCATTAAATGGAAGCCAGCAGCCAAGACATTCTTCAAAACAGCTTTTCCTACGCAAAGGACAAAGGCAGTCATATGGCTCAACATGAGGATGAGTAAATGATGACATGAGGATGAGTAAATAATGACAGACTTTCAATTCTGTACATCTTCAAGCCCGTATGATTGGCAATCCTTCTGTGAAATGTGAAGGGGGATATTTTAATTAACCTCTGAAGATTTTTTTCCCATATATTTAATAAATGATGATCACGACTCCTCAAATTCTAAGAAGCGGGAAATGAAATCCCATAAAATATTCTAGCTTCTAGTTAGAAAAAAATTATTTGAGTGTAAGTCAGTAAAAAGTAAAAAGTCAGTCACTGTTTATTTCATCTGTGTTATTTTTAGGTGCACTATTCCTGCAAAACCAGCACTTTTCCTGTAAAACCAAAACTCATATCACTTTATCTATTTTCTACAAAATAAGTTGCGCACATATTTGTTTACAGATATTATGTGACTCAGGACCACAAAACCACTTATAATGGTTGAGCTCAAATAAGCTTTTTATTGATGTACGGGGTTAAGATAGGACAATATTTAGCAGAGATTCGACCGTTTGGAAATCTGATGGTGCAAAAAAAAACTATTTCGAGAAAATCACCTTTAAAGTTGTTCAAATAAAATTCGTAGAAATGTATATTACTAATAAAACATTGAGTTTTTATACATTTACACTAGGAAATTTACAAATTATCTTCATCGTACATGATCTCCACTTAACATTCTAATGATTTTTAACATTAAAAAAATGTATGATCCATCATGTGATGCATTTCTAGGTACTCCCACTCCCACAAACATACTCCTGCAACACAAGATTGGTTTTGTGATCCAGGGTCACATGTAGGGGTGTCACAATTTCGATTTTTAATCGAAATCGATCAAAATTTATGCTCAATTTTGATTATCGAATCAAAAAATAGAAGCGTCTATGCTGCCACGCCCCCATGTCACGTCAGCTTGGCTTGCCAAAGCGGGAAAAAAACAGGCTTGTTGAAGTGCTTGTCAAACTGCAGAAGCAGGAGACCCGTCGACAGAACTTAAACCCTCTCCTCTTTCAATGAAGTCGCCGGTGTGTAAGCATTTTGGATTTCCAGTGAGTTATGCTGACAACGTTCGTGTTGTCAACAAAAAAAACACAGTTTTGCAAGCTCTGCTTTGTACGTATTACGTACGGTTCGTCCGATAGACAACACTGGCATCGCGATCCTCTGCCCGCCCCCCCTTGCAAATCCGCTCGCGAAAAGTACACACTCAGGCCCTGTTTACACTGCCTTTATTTTTAAATGGCATTTTAGAACGACAACGATTTGACATCCACAGTGGCGTGTAGCATTTCTGAGCAGCCCTCCTTCCTCTCTACCTCTGAAAATGCACATCACGTGACCACACAGACACAGACGCACACACAGCCATGCGCTCGAGACAGCAGGTCCAGGCAGTCAGAGGACTGCTTCAATCTTTCACTCACTTGTACTTAGTCATTTTAGCGCACACCTCAGATACTGTTGGCTGGTTCCTGTTGGTTGTGCGTCTTTTTTTACCGACGCCATTATAACGACACAGATCACTGCCTATTTACGAGTCCCGCAGAAAAAGTGATTGACAGGTGGTAATTATGTGTGTATCTTGCCTTTATTCATTTACTGTATGATTTGTTTATGGGTAAAACAAAGACCATGCAGGTCAGGTAGTTTAAACGGCAGGCTACAAATAATTAATTGGTCATTAATTAATTAATTATTCATAATCGAAAATAGAATCGAATCGTGACTTTAGAATCGAAAATGTAATCGAATCGAGGATTTGGAGGATTGTGACACCCTTAGTCACATGTTTTTAGTTGCCCTCAAAAAGTAATGACAATAAAAGAATATAATAATAAAAGTAAAGTAAAATTTTATAATAACAATCACTGTGATTGCTCCACACAAATACAGAGTCTCTATCAATCTCTCAATGCGTTTTGCTTGCTCGACATTAAATGCATTATGTAAGTCATGTAAGAATATGAGGCTATTAAAAACATCCAAAATGTTTATGACACACAGAAACTAGAAAGCACCAAATGTAAAATTTTCAGCTAAAAGAGAAAAACGTTCAATAATATGCAAGCCAGGCTCATTATTGAGATGTACCCCTATATATACATTTCTGTAGATCACGAAATACATCCCAAGATGTTTTTGTGCAGTTTTTATTTTACCAAATCCACCAGAGGCTGCTGTGTATGCTTTGAGATCTCAGATTTCACGCCTGCTCAGATCTCAGATTTTTTCGCGCCTGCTGTTCTCACGTAATCCACCAGAGGCTGTTGTTAACTGACTGACTGAACGATCCCCTCACCCACCCCCTTACCTAAACCTAAGCGACAATTTTAAAAAGCAATCCAAAAAAATAAAAGGGAAAGCCCTCATGGCTGCCTGATTTTTACCATGTTTTTAGATCTTACCACGTTCTCACCCTGTTATTTACTTGTTTATTTTATTTTTTGCCTTTTGTTTTACCCGCTTTCTGGAACTGTTTTTCACCAGACCCCAACATTGTCATCGCAGTCAACTCCTCTCTGCGTTTCAAGTGACATACATGGCGAGCTACAGTGGAAAAGCCGTCCACACTAAGGTAATGGGTCAGCTGGAAGTATCAGCAGCATCATACCACCCCACTTTGGTTTTAAAGACTAATGGAGCCATACGTAGCTCTAGCTACATAATTTGTGCTCTCCAGAAACGTATAGGGGCGTACGTTTTCACAATATACCTGTGTTGCAACTATCAGCTAAAAAAAAGCCTATGCATGCTCTGCAGAAAAGCTAACTCCTCTCAAACAGCATGGCGAAAAGACGTTTTAATGTAGTATACTTGTCTTTGTTGCTTTTATTAGCGCTATTCTGCTGTCATGGCAATGCTGGTAAAATACCCCACAAAGCCACTTGACTCGTTCTTCGTCAGTAAAATGTCATTTTTCAATAAATTGTGGTTATTTTAATGACTTGTTTTTTTTCTTTCAGTACAACTGAATTTATTAGGTGTGTCCTAAATAGCATTCTTATGCAATATTCTATGCCATTTTGTAGTATAAATAAGTAGTGCGTTCACACTGAAAACTAAAAAAGTGCACTTTAAATACCTGGATGATGCACTTATTCAACCGGTAAAATAAAGTGTGGATTGTTGGGACCCCCGAGGGGGTCGCGGGACAATAACAGGGGGTTGCTTGGTGATTTCCAAAAGTCAAATAAATTAAATTAAATTATTAGAATTACCATATTTTAACCATGATCCATTACTTTGTTTCACAGGATTGGTGTGTTTACGCTAGATCAACAACACAACAATAGCATCAGCTGCAGCACATTTTGATTTTATAGCACCACGATAAACTTTTTAACAACTTTATGGCAATCAAATACAGTAAAAATAAATACAGGCACACAACTGAACATTGAGTAAGATCCACAGTATGATTGGTGGTCTCCAAAATTAAACCAAGAATAGACTGAAAACATTGTGTCCACCAGTCTCTTTAGCTGAGGTTAACCTTAAATTAAACAATTTAATAAATGATTATAAAAATGATTTGGTTGTTAAACTGTTGCACTTTTTTATGTTGTCAATATGCTCGTGCTTATATAGCCCTATTGTTGTGTGCACAATTTTTCTTTATTTTTAAACGCCTTCAAGGAATTTGGGAGTCACGAGCCTCTGCTATCGTTATTTTAGGGGTCGTGAGCTGAAAAGTTTGGGAATCCCTGACGTAGCGGAAGGGGGGGAGCTTTTGGGCGCTCATGTTGGGTTACATTATTTATTTTAGATTGTGAAAGCAATGATTATACTGCCTCCTAATGGTGAATTAGGTTATACTCATGGCAGACAATATTTGTTAGTTTGGTCATATATTTCACTATTTTGGCAACCGTCAAATGTAAATCAGAGAAACGGTTTAAATTTCCGCTTAGAAAAAAACCCATTAGTGCTCTTTTTGGAACGACACAACATACATATACCATGCTGTTGAGTGTGCAAGTGCATAAGTACATACAGTAGTGTATAATGTGCCATTTGGGATGCAGCTATTGAGTTAAATTTGAAAAAGTATTACAAAATTACTTTATATTATTTAATAAAATAACAAGTAATTAGTACACAGAACTTTTGGATTTAGTTTTTGTCTAAGTTCAAACAGATTTAAATTTTCCCCCGATGCATCCCTTAAAGAAGCTAGTAAAAGGGGTGTATGGTGCATGCCAACAGTTGGTGATGTCAGTATGTTGAGCAACACACAACAGTAAATTGTGTAACAGTAAGACTAAATCAGAAAACATACTAACAAAAAAATCATTAGCTCAGTTTATTCTATTCTTGAGTTAAGTGTCAAAGAAGTCCGCGAATTGTGAATTCAATAAATCTTATCAGTTTCCTGAGAACAGGTGGTCTCTGATTGCCTTTATTATTATCCTCAGAACAGCTGAAATTCTAAAAAGCGATGGAGTTCGTAATGACATGGCAGATGGCATCTGAAATCATTTCTTTCGCAGAATGGGCATTTGCTGAGGGCCAGGAGTCAGTCTGCGACTCGGAAAGAAGAGAGTGAGAGAGAAAAGATTAAAATGCAAAATTTGGCCCCTTGCTGATCTAAAGTCTCTCCCTCAATTTGAGCTTAAATTGGGTTCAGAGCATAATGGTTAATCCTCGGAGGCCGAGATGAAGAGAAACACACTGCTTTAAATTAAAAGCCTACAATGAAATAGCTGATTGACAAAAGCTTTGTGCTTCACTTCCAATCACGTTACGCCATAGAAAACAGGCCAGACGCCTTTATGGTGAACGCGGTGTATTTACTCTACATATCGAGTGTGTTATCAGCGCACCATGTGTTGATTTCTTGACTCGTAAGCCGATGAAATTCTAAAGTGGAACAGATGAGATGACGATGAGCAAAAACAAACAACTTTCAACAATACTGAGGGACCACTTTACTTGAGATTTGAGCTCCAGTCCTGTCAAGCTGACATGTAAGCTTATTCTCGGTGATGAGGAGAAGCTCTTCCCCAACCCCCTCCCCATTCCCTGTCCTCTGGAAATCTCTGCATCCCTTGACAGCATTCGAGATGGCAGGCTCAGACACTTCACTTCCATCAAATCTACCAGAGCCTTTCTGAAGAGCTTTAGGCATGTTCTTCCTGCTTATGATTGTGTTGTGACACACAACAGCTCCAGACGGACGCTGCGTCCAATTCACACGCCAACTCCCAGCTAAACTTGAGCAACGGAAAAAAAAATAAACCACTCTGCGGTGCTATTTCAGTCACGTCAGTCCAACGATTCTACCTTTTAATTGGACAATACTTGGGTGACAACTGACATTTCAAATGTCACCCAAGGTGCTCTTTAAAAATCCGCAGGGTAAAGTTTAAAAAGACGAACAGACTCACCGAGACGTTGTAGATGGCCATCCCAACAGCTCGATGATCGTTAATTTTTTCAGTGGACACAGACTTGGTTTCATATGCCAGGAAAATACCCAGAAGCAGCAGCAGACCTTTATAGCCATACACAACACCTAAATGACAAAACAGACAAAAATAAAACACAGGTTCCATCTTAAATCACTTCAACTATCACTACTGATGGAGCCAATGTCAGTGCATATAAAATACTTTATGCTTAATTACTTATAGTGTTTGTTTCTGAAGAAGAAATTAAATTGAATTAATCAAATGTGACTATTATGGGCTCTATTTTAATGATTAAGTGCATCGTCTAAAGCGCACTGTGCTGGGGCACTTAGGGCATATGGGCATCCACAATTTTTTTTTGTACAATATATTTATTACTTTTTTTATTTGCATATCACAACAGATTACAGAATTACAGAATAAAAATCATGAAGGCACAGCAAACTTTTTACCCCCATTCTCCCTCCCAACAACCCATTCCCCTAAAAAAATAAAATAAAATAAATAAAATAAAAATTTATAAACAAACAAACAAACAAATAAATTTATATATATATATATATATATATATATATATATATAAAGGGGATATGTTTAAATCAGGCAGAGAGTGTTTCCTGTGTCTGTTTAGACCATGATACTCTTGTTGTAGTAGACTGTCAACATTTACATTGTACTTTAGGAAGTTATTAAAAGGTCTCCATATACCTTCATACACATTTTGTTTCTTTGTGACAATGTACATGATCTTTTCCATTGACATATGTGATGCCATTTCTTTAATCCACTTTCCTATTCTAGATTCAGAATGGTAAAAATGGTCAGTGAGGAGCGCATGATATAAAATGGTTGTTGTTGTTCTCTTAATGAGGTGTGTTTAGCTGCAATTTCCATTAAACCAATCAGAGTCTTATCTCCCATTCCCTTTAAGAGTGTGTTGCAGTCAAGCCATGGCAGATTTGTTATTTTCTTTGTAAATGGAAAATCTAAATAAGTCATTAGCAAGGAAACAGATCTACAATTAGCCAATGTCATCCATTATTGCTGCAAACAAGTAGGCGGGCTAATTTTGACACATATATTAACTATTCGTTATAATATGAAGGAGTTTTTTATTTAATTAAAGAAATTTGTGTGCTGCTTTGCATCTTTGTGTGTGTAATGAGCAACATGCTGTGGACCCTCCTATAGGCGCATTTCACTTATTTATTCATTTTCCTTCGGCTTAGTCCCGTTATTTATTAGGGGTTGCCATAGTGGAATTAACTGCCATCTTATCCAGCATATGTTTTACACAGCGGATGCAAACTAGTACTGGAAAACACCCATTCACTCTCACATTCACACACATACACTACAGACAATTTAGCTTAACCAATGCATCTATACTGCATGCCTTTGGAATGTGGGGGAAACCAGAGCACCCGGAGTAAACCCACGCAAACATAAAAAGAACATGCAAACTCCACACAGAAATATCTACTGCCCCAGCCGGGGCTCAAACCAGCAACCTTCTTGCTGTGGCATTTCACTTATGTGCTTTTTCAATAAATAAAAAAAACACTCTGCTATTGATTGTTGGTGCAATACCTCGAAATAGTAATGTGCCCTAACACACTTCCTTGTCAGACCAGATTACCAAGACTCAGGTATATGATAAGGGCCAAAGATTTCTTAACATACATCAGAACTGTGTCCCTTTTTTGTTTGTGCACAGTAATAACCACCACACATAGCAAGAAATCACAGTGAAAAAGGTACAAGCCTTGACATGTTTTGTCAGATCTTGCTTGAAAAAAGAACAAGAAGTCAATAATAAACCAAAAATAAAATCTACAAACTTTGTTGAAAATAAAACCATGATACTGTTACTCAGTTTAATGCCTCCAAATTTAATGATATACACCTTTATGGCATATTTTTTAATAAATATTTACAGGTAACTTAATTTGATGCACATCAGATATGGTTTTCGCTTTTGTTTATATGCAATACTAACCAACTGTGTGGAGCAGGAAATCACATTGAAAAACGTACAAGCCTCAACCCAAAAAACTAATAAGAACTAGCCGATTTTAATTCTTAAATGCTTTACATTAAATATAATTTCAAAATCTCACCACTCACATCTGCCCATTCTAATAACTCCATAAACTCGATTAATGTATGAGCCAATAGCTTAAATTAAAACCCCAGGGATGCTTATAATAAGTGGACCTGGCAACTCTGCACTCTCTGTGAAGCAGCCTGTAAAGCATAAACAAAACACGACACCTCTGTCATCTTTGGTTTAGTTCAAACTGCAAACCAACAAGGGTTCAAAAATACACTACCGAACAAAAAAGTCTTGTTGCCTATCCAAGCTTTAAGAGCAACATATAATAACTTAACTTCAAGTTGATCATTTGGCATCAGAAGCAGCTTATAAAAGATAAAGGTCTTCAGATTACGCTTATTTTACAAGAATGAAATATGATCATGCCTTGATTTTAAATTATTTAATTAGGACAGAAAGGGTGATTTGTTTAGACAAATGTCTTGTCACTTAACAGAAACAATGTACAGTATAGAATATAAAGTCGGTGGAAAAATAATTAATATTATGTATGACTCCATGAGCTTGGAGAACTGCATCTATACATCTTTGCAATGACTCAAATAACTTAATAAAGTCATCTGGAACAGCAAAAAAAGTGTTCTTGCAGAACTTCCAGAGTTCATCAAGATTCATTGGATTCGTTTTCAATGCCTCCTTCTTCATCTTACCCCAGACATGTTCATGTCTGGTGACTGGGCTGGCCAATTCTGGAGCACCTTGACCTTCTTTGCTTTCAGGAACTTTGATCTGGACGCTGAAGTATGAGAAGGAGCGTTATCCTGCTGAAGAATTTGCCCCCTCATGTGGTTTGTAATGTAATGGGCAGCACAAATGTCTTGATACCTCAGGCTATTGATGATACCATCCACTCTGCAGATCTATTGCATGCTCCCATACTGAATATAATTCTAAACCATGAATTTTTCTTCTGCCACTTTTCCAAATGATTAACTAGAAGTCAAGTTATTATTTGTTGGGATCTGGGATCGATGACAAGGCTGGGATCGATGACAAGACTTTTGTCAGGTAGTGTAGTGGATACCAAACACACAAGATAACTGAATGTTATTTTCTATATCCTAAGAAAGTCATGTTTTTTTAAACACACACTTACATTTAAATTCTATTGTCACCCCTGAAACTTCACAGAGTGTGAGCTGCACACATTTTTTACAACATTTCACCAAGCTTCTTTAATTTCTCTTTAGTTTATTACAAATGGCGGTTGCTTGTCCATTATTTATCATCACCTCCTCGTCTGGCCATTAAATCCTCAGTAAACACTGCAGCTGTAATGAAGGTCGCAGACATGGGGGTGTAGATTTAATTTAACTGAGCGCTCGCAAAAAACGGCTCACTTCAAGTTCATTTGGACTTGGATGTGACAAAAAAATGGAGCTATCAGTGTGAGTGAGCTGTTTACTATGTAATTAGTCCATCCCTTTCCACCAGTTTGATGCATTCAGGCCAATGCAAACATGATAGGTGAACATTATCAGGCTGACAGGATAATCAGTCAGCCACAGACACAGCCTGATCTCATGACTTTTGCCTGCATCCAGCCATTCATCCCACACATTCATGACACATCATGCGCTGATAAAAATACTGGTTTAGGATTAACTTTAAATCTGTTTTATTTATAAATTGCTAGCAAACTTTATATATAATTGCAGATAAATCGTACATTGAGTTATATGAATCTTTTATGTAGACAATTTTTATGCAATTTGTTCTTCAATCATCTAGTTTTCAGTTGTTTTCATCTTTTAATACAAAAATATTAAATATCAAATACACCAAAATTTATATCTCAATATTTTTGAAGATTTGGTGAAACTTTTGTTTAAGTACCATTTCTCACTATTATCTAGTGGCTTATTGCCTGCCTATTATTCAGAAAATAACCTAAATACCTAAATCTACCTAAATCTAACTACTACCATAATATCTATTAAATAACAGCGCATTAGGAGTTTATTGCAGGAAATATAATAGATAATTAGGTTTTTAATAGTGAGAAATGTGCATTAAAATAAAGTGTGACTGAACAGATTGTTAATAATAATTAAAAGCTATATTGCTGAGTGTGTTTTTGTGCATGAGTATTAATCATTTATGCACTGCTCAGTTCACAACAGTGACATACATTTAGTTAAATATGCACTACATTGAATTGACTTCTAGATTTATAAATAGATTTATTATTAAAAAATAAATGCACAATTAAATGTATGCAAATTTCATTTTTATGCATCTAACACTTTATTTAAACTACATCCCACAAGGAATCAATAAAGAAAATGATGTTTACTATAAATGTACCATAATGTTGCGCTGCTAGTTTCAATCTTAAATTACAGTGGCTGAGAAGTGCAAAACAACATTACAAAGTGTAAAACACTTCTACGAAGCTCAAGTCAAATGTACATTTTGGAAAACATTTGTACCTATCATAGGACACAGTTACATAAGAAAAATGAAATTACCAAGGACGAAACAAATTTAGATTTTAGAAAAAAAATTAACAAGACGCAAAACACTTTTACCTGTCCCAAAAACAAATTTAAAGTGACAGATTCTTTACGGAAAGGGAATGTACCACACACCGGAAGTGACACGGTGAAAGGCGTTGTTGTCGTTGGTGGTGAGCAGGGTAAATTCGTGTTATGGAGTACATGGCGTAAATAAAGTTTATGGTGACTGAACATAAACTGCAGTCGAGGGATGTTTTGTCCATTTAGTGGCAAACACATGAGCAGCTTAACGCAGTTTTGCTTTACAAGTGGTTGATATTCAGAGTTTCTAAAGGACACAAACCAGACGGAAACACCAGACATACTGCATCAATGTGTTTAATATTTTAACAAGGGCCACTCGTACGCTGTAATCGTGGACATGATATCAACTCTACACTGTGTAAACATCTACTTGAGGACTCTTAAAAGTGAACTGAATGAAGCCGGTGTTACGGTTTAACTGGTGACTGTGTTAACTGGTGCCCCT